TACAACAGTTTCTTTAAGAAGTGTGCCCTGTAGTACTTGGATGACATTAAATCAGCGTCATTCCCCAACTGGATCATATTTCCAAGTGTAAGAGAGATTTGAGGCAAGTCAGCACAGTGGCTCAGCACTCCAGGGGCTACCTTTTAAAGCTGATGACTCTCGAAGAACGGCACTTTGATTCCCGATGCTGCCTTCTGGCCAGGAGCGGTGAGCCTCTGTGTCTTTGATATGTCAGGCAAGGGAGCCACAACAGTACAATAGCCCCTTAGGGGGTGGGGAGTAGAAAACAAGGAGGGTGTCTGAGTGACCTTGTGCCGTTCAGCTCTCACATGACTATTACTGAAAACTGGTTGACACTGGGGGCGAGGGAGGGCCATGTGGGGAAGCCTGAAGTTCTGCAATATATAGGCCAGGGTTGCCAAAAGGTGTCACTACTGGTGCTAAAAGAAATAAGCACAGTGGGAAGGGAGTGGAGAAAATAAAACTGGAGTAACATCAAATGAAGTGCACAAACGTCTAATTTAAACAAGTGACTTGTTGGGCTCAATCAGTGTCGGCTGTATAGGAAGAGGAGCATTTTTGCCAAACAGGCTTCATTTCCCTGCAAGGGAAATGAATTTAATCTACTAAAAGGCAAAGGCTTATAATATAAATGGACTAAGGAGTCAAAAGCAAGGAAGTGAAAATACGTATGTTAGAAACTGAAAAGAGGAAGAGGTGTGCATCACAGGGGTAGGGAGCTCTCATGCTGCTTTCTACCCCCTTTGGGTCTGTATGATGTTTCTTTAGACTGTTAAGTCTATGATAATATGGGGATGAAGAGTGCAACATAAAAACGTCGAGACATGCAGTGGACCAGTAAGGGCAAAGATTTGTCTTATTGCGTGTTTGTAAAATGCTCTGAATGCTTTTGGGCACTATGCTCTCAAACCTGACTTCTGCTGTGTGCCTGTTTAGGGGAATAAGAGAGAATGTGATGTCTCTTTTCGTGCCTTCCGGGGGTTCACACACAGCTGGAGCCAACCCAAGAGGCAGCGCCCACAATCTACAACTTCTTTTCTTTCCCTTCCGTGCACATAGGTGAAGAGTAGAAGGAGACTTAGTTCTACCCTCTCTCTATGCTGGCCAGTGTACTAGAGAGGAAATGATCTGTCTTAGGAAAAGGACTAGTGCAGATTACTTCCTCCCTGGAACAAGAGGGACCAGCCTGTGACTCTGAAAGTGCCAGGCTAGTTTCTGCTCTGCTCCTGCCCCTTACTCAGGTTGGTTTGTAAGGTTTCAGCCCAACCCTCTACAAACAAGCACCAGTAACACTGAAACAGAATGTTAAGCTTTCCATGATGAATTGTAGCAAATCCCTTCTCATAAGGCTTAGCAATGAATTTCAGGGAATATTTTGAGTAGTTTGAGAATCACTCAAAGTCACACATGCGAGGTTTTTACTTAATGCACAAGAACAAGAGTGATTCTTTCCTCATTTTTTGGAGCCACCCTCTTCGGCATCTGGTTCTCCTTCTGGTCCCAATGATTAATGGAAAGCTTTGGTTCCAAAGACCTGCAAACTTTGAGAGGAGTCAATTTCAATAATACTGTGACAGGGTCAGAGCAGCAGGTTACAAAAAAGTAGTAGAGGGGAACCTGGAGGGGGCGGGGGCAGGTTCCCCTCAACACCCACTTCCCCAATGCAACGTGGGGAAAAGACTTGAAGTTAATTCTCCCCTTATATCATACTCTAGCCAAAGACAAAAAGAACTCAACAAACATCAAACTAACTCCCTACAAGTGGTGCCTAAAATTGAGGGCTGCTGTGAGCCTCTGAAAGCACAAGTCCCACCGAGTTTAAGTAGGAGCTTTTTCACAATACCTAGCTCTTATCAGAGGATCTCAAAGCTAGAAATATTAAATGTGATATTCTCATCAAATTCCAGCTAAGGTAATTATCCTACCTACCTAATACTCCTTGAAATCAGAGTCTTCTTCACACAGAAATTCTTCACTCATCTGAAGTCCAAGACTTTTAAATAATGTTGCTCTGGATTGTTAAGTTATTGTATTTCATCCCAGAGGTGTCTGCATTGCCATAGTAAAAGAAATGCAACATTTATTAAGTTTGCAAGGTGTTTGTGAACTTTCTATATCAAAAGAGGTTTTATTTCAGAAAGTGTGTGGATGTATTTATATGCATGAACGGTGAGAGCATTTGGCATCCTGAAATCAGGCTGAGTTTGGGCTGTCTTGTTGGTGAACATCAGTGCAGACTCAAGAATAAATTAGGAACCTGGGTTGATGCTGATCACATGGCCCCGTTGCAAAATATGCTCCTGTGCATTTCTCTTTTCATCTCTGTTGTGGGATTTGATGACCCCTATGTAGTCTTTAAGGAGTGACAGGTGGCGGCTACTTCTACTTCATCTTCCAAGTGGCCACCTTGCAGAAGCCAGTCCCCCTCTGCATGATGAAATATGTCTTTGAAGGGCAGGATACAACTCATTTTTATTATTTTTAATTGAATGGCCCCAAATGTGTTAGAAGCCTAAACAACAAACAAACAGAAAAACCAGACAAACCCCAATCCCAAGTCAAAGGCACATATTCCAGATAGTTTACCATGTAGAGTATACATGACACACGAGGACCACAGGCCAACAAGAAAAGGGAGAGGGATGACAGAGGTGACAATAATAAGATCATGTGGGTCTCTAGGAAGGCATGAATACATTTAGATAGATGGCTCCATTAAAACTTGTACTGTTGTTCCCTTTTCTCCCCACCTACCTCTCACAGGTCTCACAGGGGACGGCTTGGGAAGTAGGAGGTGCTCCAGGCATAAGGGACAATATGTAAGAAGACCCAGAGATGGTAAGATAGGGTCACAGAAGCTGGTGTCATTGCCAGAGTAAGGTGGGAGGGTGACAGCCAACAAAAGGAGATCAGGTCAGAGAGCGAGGCAGTGGTTGCATGGTGCAGGTCCTTGAAGGCATGGACAATACCTTTGAGTTTGTTGTGATACATAATGAGGAACCATTCAGGGATCCACTGGGAGGACAGGTAGGGGCATGGTTAAAGTAACAGACAAGACAGATGACTTTGGGTGAATGGGAGGGGACCCTGTATGGAGCAGTTGGACTGCAAACAGCCATAATTTGCTCTATTTCCAGATTGCAAAACAGAGGTCTGAGAGGTTAAACAACTGGCTTATGGTCACACAGTGAGTCAGTGATGAAGCCAGGGACTGGATTATCCTGTCTCCTGGAGCACAGTACAGACCACTGGCAGAAAAAGTGTTTCCCTACTTCCTTTGCCCTCACCCCTTTCTACCCTCTCCAAAGACCCTTGTAGGGACTGAATAGGGGAGAAGGTGAGTGATCCCTATCTAGGAACCTCCAGAAGAACCGGCTGTGGGGAGTGGCTATTTGTACTTTATAGACTAGAGATATGCAGAGTGGAGCGGGTGACCTAGCTACAGGATGAAGAATGAATTAGGAGAAAGGCTTCTTCTCAAAGCCAACAAAGGTAAGGTAAGGAGAGGTACTGGAGGCAGAGGGAAGGGAAAAGCATGGATGTATGTTGGTGAAGAGGGGCAGAGGGAGAAGTCCGAAGGGAAGAAATGGTCATCTGGCCTGTGTGGGGCATTCTTGGAGGGTTAAGTGTGTTAGAAGTTGACCCTCCAAGGGACCCTGCAGTGTTTGATTCCCTGGCAACCCCTGTGAGTGAACCTTACAGGATTTGTGCCAGTTTCCAGAAATGAAGCTGATGATTTTTGCTCCTGAAACAACCCTGCCCACTGGACTAACTTCACCGGAGGTGCGTCTAGACTACATTCCTCTTTCGAAAGAGGAATATAAATGAAGAAAATAAAAAATGCAAATGAAGCACAGATTTACAAATCTCACGCTTCATTTGCATAATCGCATCCTATTGCTTTTTTGAAAAAAGTTTTTGTGATAAAAAAAGCAGTCTAGACATGGTTCTTTTGAAAAAAAATCCCTATTTCGAAAGAACCCTGTAAACCGCATTTTTTCAGGAATAAGGGTTCTTTCGAAAAGGCATTTTTTCCCAGAGAACTGCATCTAGATTGCTTTTCTTTTAATTGAAAAAACCTTTTTCGAAAAGGTGATCAGACATGATTATGCAAATGAAGCCTGAGATTTGTAAATCTGCGCTTCATTTGCATTTTTTATTTCCTTCATTTACAGTCGTCTTTCGAAAGAGGAATGTAGTCTAGACGCACCCCGGAGAGCATAACTCAGAGATTCCTTTCTGAACAGATTGTGCACTGTATATTAAATAGGAAATGTCAAATATACATATATTTTTAAAATATGCTTTTAAAAATTGCCCACAAAACCCCCCCAACTGTCATTCTGAAGGGAAGGTGCTGCTAACGTGGTCTGGAAATGCCACTGTTCTCAGTTTCATCTTTTTCTCTTGGTGTGACTGTGACATGTGCTGGTATTTCCTTTGCAAGATAACAATAGACGCAGGACATTTCAGGAAATACAAGGAGACAGCTAACCATAGTATCTGCAGCATTATCAAAGCTGGCATAATGCTGGGCGGAATCTAACCAGAAGGCTGCAGTGGCCCAAACTGGACCCATAACTTCAAAAATGTAATTTCTCATCAGCAATGTGACTGGTCAATCCTTGGTTAAAAGTGTACGGGCAGAATGCAAAGCTGTGCTCTCAGCATACTTAATATGTGTTTCCAGAATAAGGAACCTTTTTTAAAAACACCGTGTGAACCAAATATGAATGTTGACAGCAGTCCAAAAATTCTTATTGCAGGATGGCATCTGAATGGAGAGTGAAAGCATTGCTCTCCTTTTTCTGGCTGGCCTTCCTCAGCATTGTCTTCTCAGGGAACACCACAGCGCTCTAACTACAGCCTGAGAGCCAATAAGCACATTTTATGATTGTTCGCTAGGTTCAAAACACTTGAAACATTTCAAAGTGCCTGACATCCTTTCAAGTTAGCTGCTATAAAACCAAGTGCAAATA